GAATGTGGAAATTATCAAACAGTAGAATTAATATCACATGCAAGAAAAATACTGCTGAAGATCATTTAAAAAGAACTAGAAGAGTACATAGAGAACTGCCAGACATTCAAGCAGGATTTAGAAGAGGCTGTGGCAACTGGGATATCACTGCTGATGTCAGATGGATCTTGGCAGAAAGCAGAGACTACCAGGAGAATATCTGTTAATGTTTAGTTGACTGTGCAAAGGCATTTGATTGTGTGGATCAAATTATGGAAACAAGAAGACTGGGAATCCCAGAACACCTGACTGTGCTCATGAGAAACCTGTACCTAGACTAAGAAGCCAATGTGCAAAGAGAGCATGTTACAAGGAGAGGTTATTTCTTGGAGAGAGACATCATGCCAGGGAATGTGAAGGAGTGGTGAAAGACAGGAAGACCCTCAGCCTCAACCAGGTGAGCTGACACTGTTTGCAACAGTGGGCTCAAGTGTGTCACTCATCTGTTGTTCGTAGGGTTGCTTTGTGTTGTGCTCAACTCGACAGCATCTAAAAACAATACATCAACTTCTGCAGACTGGAATTTATTGAACATGAAATCAAGATGCATTAAATAATAGCAGGGGATTGGAATGTAAAAACTAGAAACACAGAAGTATTGGTAGTTGGAAAATATGGCTTTGGTAACAGAAATTGAGCCAGAGATCAAAGAATAGGATTTTGTACAACCAACAACTTATCCATTGTAAATATCTTCTTAAAAAATAAATAAATGCAGCAGTACACATGGATCTCACCTCACGGATACACAAGAATAAAATAACTACATTTGTGGAAAGAGACAGTTGTTGCTGTCAGGTGCTGCCAAGTATAACTCATATCAACCGTGTCAACAACAGATCTGACCCTGTCTTATACAGTGCCATCCTTACTGGCTCTGACACACTTGAGCTCATTGCTGCAGTCACTCTGCAGTCCTCCTGGTTGAGGGCCTTCGTCTCTTTCACTGTCCCTCCACCTTCCCAAGCATGATGTCACTCTCCAATGAATAGCCTCTCCTAGCAACATGCCTAAAGTACTTATTGTCTTTGCCTCTAAAGAAGTAGTCTCGCTGCATCTTCTCCAAGACTTACCTGTTTGTGGTAGTTCATGGGATACTCAGCACTCTTTTCTAACACCATAGTTCAAAGGCATCAGTTCTCCTGTCATCCTTAGTCTTTGTCCAGATCTCACATACATAGCAAGTGATTGAAAAGTTCATGGCCGGAATCAGGCATACCTTATTCCTCAAACTAACATCATTTCCCCTCAATAGTTTAGAGATGTCCTTGATTTCAGACTTTCCCAGTGAAATACATCTCCTCATCTCCTAACTGCTGGTTCCTAGTGGATCCAAGTAAAATGAAGCCATCAACAGTTTCAATCTTTTCCCCATATATCCTGCTGTTGCCTTCTGTCCATTGGTGAGAATTTTTGTTTTCTTGATGTTGAGATGCACTCCATATTGAAAGCTGTATTCTCTGAGCTTCTGCAGCAAGCACTTGTCTTCCTAATGTTCAGCCGGCAAGGTTATCTCATCAGCATAACAAAGGTTATCGATGAATCTTCCTCCAATCCCAAGGCCACATTCTTCATGGAGCCCAGCTTCTCAAAAAGAAAAAGGCAGTAGAGGCAATATTATTATCATTGAGAACAAGGCTAAAAATGGCGATGGAACTGACCATCGATACCTCATATGTAAGTTCAATTTGAAGCTGAAGAAAATGCAGATATATCGGGGAAAGCCACAAATACAACCTTGAGTATACCTCATTTGTGTGTTTAGAAACCATCTCTAGATTTGATGCATTGAAATAATTACCAGATAAGTTGTGGGATGACATCAAAGGTAGTATAAATAAAGTATAAGTCTTTAAAAAGATAAGAAAGAAAAGACTAAAAGGGATGTCAGAAGAAACTGAAATTTGCTCTTGAATCTAGAGAAGTTAAAGCAAAATTTAAAAAATGAAGAAAACTGATCAGAAGATTTCATGGAGCAAAGCAATGTAGCAAAAAATAGAGCTGGAGTTAGAAAACCAAAAGAGAAGAACTAAGGAGCAAATCCAAGTCTCAAGTTGCAATAAAAAGAGATTCTGTGGGTGAAATATTTAATGACACATGAAGCATCAAAAGAAGACGGGATACACAGAAGCACTGGACCAAAATGAATTGGTTGACACTGTACTATTTCAGGAAATAGCATATGATCAAGAATCTATGGTACTGCAGGAAGAAGTCTTAAGTGGCACTGGACATATTCTGCAGGCTCCAGGAAATGCTCAAATACCAACTGAGGTGCTTCAGCAAGCAAAGGACATACTCTCTTATCTATGCCAGGAAATTTGGGATTGCAGCAAAACTACTTACCACTTGGCCTTCAGAGCTCTGTATTTATGCCAGGAAATTTGGAAGACAGCTACCTGGTCAACTTACTGGAAAAGATCTATATTTCTGTCCTGACCAGAAAAAGGACGATTCAACAGAATGCATAAATTATTAAACAATATCATTAATATCACATACAAATAAAATACTTGAAAATTATTTGAAAATGACTGGAGCAATACATCCACAGGGAACTGCCAGAAATTCAAGATGGATTCAGAAAAGGCTATGGAATGAAGGATATCATTACTGATGTCAAATAGATGTTGGCCAAAAGTATATTGGAAAGATGCTCACTTGTGTTTTATTGACTATACAAAGGCACTCAACTGTGTAGATCATACAATTTATAAGATGGTTGTTGTTGTTGTTATGTGCCATCAAATTGCCTGTGACCCATAGCGACCCTAACAGCAGTTCTGAACTCTGCCCTGTCCTGAGCCAGTCTCACTAAATCCAACACTGAACATTTCATTGTGCTCATGTAGAACCTAAACATAGACTAAGAAGCTAGGTGTTCAAACAGAACAAGGGAATACTGCACACAATCAAGAAAGATGTGTATTAGGTTGTATTCCTTCACTATCCCTATTTAATCTGTATGTGGAACAAATAATCTCTGAGCTGGATTCTATGTAGAAGAAATGGCATCAAGATTAGAGGGAGAATTATCAACAACTTGAAATATGCAGATGACACTACCTTGCTATCTGAAAATGAGAGGAGTTGAAGAAGAAGATCACTGAAGAAGATCAAAGATACAGCCTTCAGTAGAACCTGATTGTGCTCATGTGAAACTTATACCTAGACCAGGAAGAGTAAGGGAACCCTGTATGGTTCAAAAGCAAGAGAACAGCTCATCAGAGTTGTATTCTTTCTACACGCCTTCTCAGTCTATATGTAGAAAAGATCATTTGTGAGGCATATGAAGAAGAATGTGGCAGGATTAAAGGGAGACTTATCAAGAATCTGCATTATGCAGAAGAAATATGCTTATAGAAACTGAGAAGGACTTGAAGCATTTGCTGCAAAAAAGTCAAAGGCTACAGGCTTAAATTGGATTGCATCTCAACATTAAGAAACATTCTTACCACCAGGCCAATAGGTAATACCATGTTAAGTGGAGAAAGTATTAAGGTTGTTCATGATCTATCTTGCTTGGATCCACAATCAACATTCCTAGCACCAGCAGTCAGGAAATCAAAAGACAAATTGCATTGGGAAAATCTGTTGTCGGGGATCTCTCCAGAGTGCTACAGAGCAGCAGTGTCAGCACAGAGACCTAGGCATGCCTGATCCAGGCCATGGTCTTCTCAGTTGCTTGCTATGCACCTGAGAGCTGGACAAAGAATAAGGGTGACAAGATGATGTCTTTGAGTTTTGGTGCTGGAGAAGACTGTTGACTGCCAAGAGAACAAATAGGTCTGTCCTGGAACTGTTTGCTCCTTGGAGGCAAGGATTTTGAAGGTCAAAGTACTTTGGGCATGTTGCCAGGAAGGACCAGTTCTTAGAGAAGGACATCATGCTTGGAAGAGTAGAGGCTCAGCACAGAACAGAAAGACCCTGGATGAAATGGATTAACACAGTGACTGCGGCATTGGGATCAGGTGTGTCAGAGATAGTGATGTTGGCTCAGGATAGGACAACGTTCGCAGCCATTGTTCATAGGGTTGCCATGAGTCATGGTTGACTTGATGATACATAACAACAACATAGATTACACCTCAGCTTCAATAAAACAACCACACCTGGACCAATAGGCAACATCATGATAAATGGAAAAAACAACATCCATGGAAGCAGCAGCCAAGATTCATTGCATTGACAGATCTACCTTCAAGGACCTCTTTGAAGTGTTAAGAGCAAGAATGACAGTATTAAGACTAGGTTCGCCTGACCCAAGCCAGGATATTTTTCAGTTCTTCATATGTATGTGAAAGTTAGACAATGAATAAGGAAGACTGAAGAAGCACTGGTGTGTTTGAATTGTAGCACTGGCTTAGAATAGTGAATAACCATGAACTTCCAAATGAGCAAACAACTATCAGGGAGGAAGTGCAGATGAAGTGTTTTTGAAAGGCAAGGATGGTGAGACTTTGTCTGCTTAGGACATATTAACAATAGAGGAAAAGACATCAGGCTTTGAAAAATATAGGGGCCCTAGAAGAAAAGAATACTCTCAGTGGGATGGATTGACAGTGACTGGAACAGCAGGACAGCAGAAGTTTTGAGGATGACATGGGATCAGGCAGAGTTTTGTTCTGTCACTAGGAGGTGGAGCTGACTCCGTGGCACCTAATAGCAAGGTGTTGCTTCCTCCAGGCCGTTTTCTGGGCCCCCAGCCTGGGTCAGCAATGCCTCTGAGCTCACCTAGACCTTTGGGCTCTTTTCTGTCATTGTATTTCTTTAAGTCTGTGGACATTGTTTTCAGATGATCTTCCTCTTAACCCAGTCTGTGAACTAATGAGGGCAGTGACTGCCCCTAGGACCCAGCTTGGGGACAAACACAGAGCTTGGGGACCAGCACAGAGCTCGTTCTTCTGTCTAGTTTGGGAGTGTTAACAGAATGGATACATGTGTTTTATTCCTGGTTACAGGTGAGTGAGCTGCCGACCTCTAACCAGGATGAGTTGAAGGTGAAGGAGCAAAACCAAAAAAGACCATCAACAGCTCCTGGAGAGGTGAAGAAGACTCAGAAAAAACTCCATTCGGCATCCTTGCCCCAAAAGTACCATGGCTATGAGGAGTTGCTGACGACGAAGCCTGATCCGGACTTCTTTGAACCAAAAGGTATGTGAGAAGGCTTGTTACCAGCACAGGACCCTCTCGACCTCGTGGATCAAGTTAGGCTGGAGTCAAACCTTTTTCACCCCAGCCAGTGTGTGCTGTCCCCAGCCTGGTCTTCACTAGCTATGGGAACATTAGGGTTCGTTCTGAGATTCTAGGGGTCTACCCCACCTACTCTGGTTGGAAATGTTTCCCTCAGGAGGAGTTTGAACACTCAGACTGGTTAAGACCCAAAGTGAACATCCATCCTCCCCCTACCAACCTTGCCCCAGTGGAGATGATGGCATAAGGTGATGTATCAACAGTATCCGTGTTCTCAAGACAGCTGGTGCTCAGTGGGGCTCTGGGTTTCACAGTACCCGGGGGGTAATCCTCTGAGGTCCATAGCTTGGTTATATGGGTCAGCCCTCTCCCCTTCCCAGTGTTCATTGCCCATTAAGGTCGATGCTCACGTGGGACAAGTATTCTCTGAGTGGGCTGCTGGGACTTCAGACTGATACAGGAGAGTTTTCTGCTTCTCGTTGGGTGCGGCTCATAGTGACCCTGTGAACAATCCCTGGAAACCTTGCTGACCCCTCACAGAGCCTTTCATGAGGCTGCTCTGATACTAGGGCAGGAGAGGTCTGGGCGGCATGGAGCTGCTTTGACTCCCCCTTGCCTTCGGGACCCCAGGGATCCAGAAGAATGTGCAGGCGCTGCAGCACATGCTGAGGCACCCGCTGCAGTATCGCTCCTCCAAGCCTAGGGTGGACACTTGGCAGAAACCCTTTGTCTCCAAGGTGAAACGGGTAAGCAGCCCCCCAAGAGCCCCTCAGTCTGCGATGTGACTGAAATGTGGGGACCTTTCCCACTGCCCCCCCTTCCCCTGCTCATGACTATGATTCGTGAAGGGGTGAGGCCAGGACACCCCCAGGTGGGACAACACCCCTTTTTTTACCTCCTCAGATCCAGAGGGTCCCGATTCCGCCCTCACGGAAGACTCGAGCCCAGCTGCTGGATGACATCCTCATTCGCATGCGGGACCCCCAGAACGTCACAGAGGCGCCCTTAGGTATGACCCTGGTCCCCAAAGACTCAGCTGCCAGGTTCTGACGTGGTCCCCCAGGTCCTTCCTGTCCACTGCTGAGTGGCAAAAGGTGGTGTCAGCGCAGTGCCCCTAGAAAACGTTTGCTCATGCAGTTGGGGAAACTGAGGCCCAGAGGCTTCAGCCGAAGTCGTACAGCAGGCGTAAGACAAGCCGGAGAGGGCGACATTGACCTCCCACGCTGGGGATGCCACTTTTGTGCCCCTTTAACCCCCCTCCCCCCACCCCACACCATCCCACGGGCCTGGCCTGCTCGCGGGCCGGCGCTTCAGGGGTGGCCCCTCTCCTGACAGGCGCTGTGCTGCGCAGGCGGGTGGAGCAGCGCCTGGTGACCCACAAGCAGTATGTGGAGGCCAAGCGGCTGCTGAAGGAGCTGCGCGCGCGGTACCGGGAGCTGGTGCGCAGCTCGGTGCAGGGCGTGTTCGGGTCCGCCCGCTCAACGCCGCCGCGCCAGGCGCTAGGCCAGGCCCAGCCCAAGTTCGGCAGCTTCCTCGAGTTCATGGACGAGTTCTGCCAGGAGACCCCGGCCAACGAGTGACGGAGTGCGCAGGCTGCGCCGCCCAGCAGCGCCCAGCTCCTCCAGGGGACTCCTGCCCGCACTACCCTCATGACCAGCTCAAACTCGCCTTGGCCCCGCTGGCTGCCTGCCTGACAGTGGGGAGCTCCTCAGAATCCCTCCTCTCAGGGCCAGCCCAGCAATAAATAGGTGCTGAGAGCAAAGTTGTCATGCATTCCCCCCCCCCCTGAACCAGACCGGAGCCACCGCCTTTTCACACGGGAGAAATTCCACACTGAGGCTTGTGCCCCAAGAAGCCGATGGGGAAACATGTGAAATGCAGAAAGGACTCACAGATATGTCTCAGAGGAGAGGCAGCCAGAGTGCTCTTGGGAGCAAAGATGATGCATCTTCCTCACATACTTTGGACTTGTTGCTAGGAGAGCCTAGTCCTTGGAGTATGACATCATCCTTGGAAAGGTGGGGGGATGATGAAGGAGAGGAAGACCTTCATCCAGGTGGGCTCGAGTGTGTCAGAGATGGTGAGGACGACACGGCATGGGACAGGTTCAGATCTGAGCTCGCTCATGGTACCTAACAACAGGGTAGAGTCTATAAAGCTTCATAGTAGGGGCGTCACATTCATCCTAGGGATGCAGCTTTGGGGGTAAATGCTGGGGGCTACCTAGCTTCCCAGGTAGCCCTTGCCTCCTAAGCCCCTGAGGGTGCCTACAGTTCATTCCTGATAGCAGGCTCACTTCTTCCAGTGTCAGAAGGCAGCAGTACAAGGATCAGAGGCCCTAGGTAATGTACACACTCCCACAATTGAAGGTGCAGTTAAAGAGATTATAGTATAGGCAGGTAAGCTCCAGAACTGATCAGAGACATCAGATACTCAGCAAGCACAGTGGGGAGTCTTGCATTGCAGGTACAAAGGCGCTTAATTGGGCCTAGAAATACTGTCCATGTTCGGTCTCACACCTGCGGCCAGTTACGGTTATGTACAGCTGTGGCCATACCCAGTCCCCCATATTCACAGATAAATTCATACACCTGGGCACACTTCCCAACTTAGAATCTTACAGGCAGCTCAACAGCTGCAGGGAATGCACTGTTAGCCACAAGCAGCACTCCTTCAGCGCCCCGCATGTTGGTGGCATACCACCCAGGGTTCAAACCACCCTGTTAGGAAGACTTGATCCCAACATTCACACTCTAGGCCCTGCTGCGTTCCAGTTCTGAACTGCTTCCTTTAGTCAAAAACACTATCAAATAATAGTCTCGCAGGCCTTACAGGCTTCTGGGAATGTTCTTACCCTAAACTCCCCACTAGGACCTTCTTGCAGTCACCCCCACAGAATTTTCAGCTCCCACTTGCAAACCTGGTGATAGGACGTGCATCCCCTCTAAGGCTGCTCCTTACATCATGAAGTTGCACGTTAGGCCAACTACTCCTAAAACCAGTGGAATTACTGTCCCACTGCCTTTCCTGAGTCTATCGTATAGGCTACTATCAGAATGATTTCTTTTTCATACTGGCAGGATTTTATATTTCATCATCTTGGTCTCAGAGCAGAGTTCCAGTCTGACATGAGCATACTGAATTCCTGACCCTATTAACTTTTGTCATTGGGGGTTGTCTCTATGGAGAGTGGGTGTATAGAGTGCTGGCTGCTTTCCCCTCATGTATAGCTAAATAATGTCAATAGGAAGCCCCCAGAAAGGAAACCACTCTTCTAGAAAGAGCTAGATCAGATCATATTGGGGCAAATGCCCTGCCAAGCTGAAATGAGCTATGATTTCATTAAAGTTCTACTTTATTGAGTCAAGAAATGATGCTCGGCTAAGAGCAAACCAAACTCATTGCCATCACGCTGGTTACAACTCATAGCAACACACCATCAGGTTCCCCAGCCCTCCTTAACGGCGAAGGTAGAATTGAACTGCTGGAGATGCTTGGCCGTTTGTTCACAGTACAGCCTGCTATGAAATACACCAATAGAGCCCCTTGGCTTAGGTCCAGTTGATGCTAACATGGCTTATTGACTTCTAGAAGAATGAAAAATGGCTCATGCCCGCTGTTCGTGGGATTATGCACCGTAATACACAGCTATGGCTAAGAAGTCAGTGCTGGGTATGTTCCCACAAACACTGCCTGGGAAGCACACCCCAGCATAACCAGCCTGCTTCTTGTTTTTAAGAAACTTGTGGCAAGGTTATTCCTGTCCACTGCCCACCCTCCTATCCAGGCATCTTGCTGCGCCCCTGGTGGCTGGACAGCCATTTTCCAGGGGGCCATTCTTTCCTATTTGGGGAGCACTCTAGATTACCAAGGTTTAATTTTTAACCTCGTTTTATTTATGATATAGGGCAAGTAATTTAACCTTATTGAAAGCATCAGTGGGGTTTTAAATCTCTGAGCCCTTGTGATGCTAAAAACTTTTCAGAGTTCTGGAGTGAATCATTCCAGTTCTCGGATCCCTGATGTTTTTGCTTTTGAAGAGACATGCCCTAGTCAGTTTCAGTGAGTAAAGCTTCAGGTGAGATTTTTAAAATAATTCTTAACTAACCAGTGTCAAAACCCTCCCATCACCAGCACTTATTCCAGTAATGTAGGCTTTTACTGGTAATCATCCATTCCCCGCTGGTGGCATTATGTGTAACATATTGGGCTGGCACTTCAAATCCACCAGCTTCTATATAACAGCAAGATGAGCAGTCTCCTCACATAAAGATGTGCAACTTTGGAAACCCAGTGGTGGATTCCTTTGAGCTGGAAAGGACTCCACAGCAGTGGGTTTACCCAAGTGTCAGTGAGGGGCGGCCAATGGTGGCCAAACGCAAGAACAGATGCAGATTGTGTCCCCACATTTCATGCTCCCTTAGGTTCTCGTCCTTAAAGTGGAGGCAGAAGGAAGGCTGGTCTCTAAAGCTCTGCCAGGCCTCTCCAATAAGTGTATCTAAGCCAGAAACTAACTAGAGCCACTATTACATAAAGCCTGCAGATGAGTGCAGCATCAAAGTAGCCAGAGGAATTAGTAAGTGTGGCATAATAGAGCATTTTGTTCATTTAAGGGCAAGTTGCACTCGCATAATGTTTCTTGCAAATCACTGGAAGGGGTTGGACCAGGTGCTGCCCTACCATGTACGCATGAGGTCTAACGGTCTAAGTGTTTTCCAAGTTTAGATGGAATAGAGATTTGTTCTCTGCTGGATGAGAAACTCATGCCAAGGGGATTTTGGTGAGTTCCTAAGCACAAAAGGTGTTAAGAAATCAGATGCTCTGAGTACTGCCTTAATATGCAAAGACAATGTCATCTTGTATATTCACTCTTTACACATTTTTTTGGTATCTGCATTAAAATATGGTTATGAGTTATAAATTAGAATCAACTTAGTTCAAAAGGAGCTGCTCATTACAGAAACCCCTGAAGAGCAATTTTATCAGTTTAAAGACTAAGGTGCACCTGATTCCTATCTTTCCAATCACCTACTGTGCTTCTGGGAGCTAAACAATGAATAACAGAATTCTTGATGCCTTTGAGCTGTGGTGTTGAAGAGTACTGAGTACCTAAGGAAAGAACAAACAGATGTGTCTTAGAGAAAGTGCAGCCAGAGTGCTCCTTAGAGGCAAGGCTGGCAAAACTTCATCCCACATACTTTAGGAATGCTTTTGGGAGAGGCTATTCCTTGGAAAGGTACATCATCCTTGGAAAGGTGGAGTGTCAATGAAAGACACCCTCAATGAGATGGATTGATCCAAACAGCGACAGTGTTGGGGATAAGGAGGGCTGGCACAGGACTCAGATCTGTTGTTCGTAGGTCTCTAGGAGCCATACTTGACTTGATGGCATTAATAACCATCCCACTCCAGTTCCTTAGCTCAGTCATCACTGTGAACGCCAAAAAAAGACACTCCAATACGGTACAACTCCCAAAGGCAAAAATATCAGAATGTCAAACACACATCTAAGTTTAGCTCAGGTTCGTATGCAGTTGTTCCCCAGAGACAAAACTTTGACTAAAAACATAGTGTTTACTTTCATGAGTTTGCTTTACTATATTCTCAATTTAGGCCTCTCCTTGCATAGGCAAACATACATTGGAGAATGCACTTTGGTTCTATTTAAATAACACATCATCCTGCTTGATTCTGTGCCATTTTCTTATTGGCAAAAGCTTCCATGATAGGGGATGCCTTGTTCCAAGTCCTTTTTGTCAAAATGGTCTTCACGTTGAGTAGAGGAGGCAGCCAGCAGTGGCAGTCCACAGGGGCCAGGCACCTTCTCAGAGGTGAATGCAGACAGCAGGAGGAATAAATCCAATATACAACTCATAGTTTTAAATCCCTAGACAGGAGAAAAGGCCCTAAGGAGAACAGCATTTGTACAAAGAATTGAGCGTAAATAGCAAATCAGGTTGTTAAAAAAAAATCCATTAGTTGGCATTTAATTTTTTCCCCCTCTTGCATAGTTATCTATTCTCTTACTAGAAATTTTACTCCTAGGAGCTTTGGTGGCTTCATGTTTGCAAACTTGAACCCACTGAGTCTCTGCTCCCACTGGTGGCACAGCTTGGGGACTGGGTGGTGCCAGTAATGGGGCAGAGTCTGACTGCTGCTTTATTAGCCAGGCATCAGGGTTCGACTGAGTTCCAACAGCTTGAGATTTGAGGAGTGTACTGCCTGTTTCTACATTTCAAAGGAGAGGGCAGAAGATGAGCAAGCTCTACTTTACCTTGGCTTTTCCCAACTATTTGATTATTTTAAAGACCAAAAAACCTCTCACTGCCATGAAGTCCATTCCTACTCAAAGCAACGTTCTATCAATATCCAAGGCTCGAAATCTGAATGGGAGGAGAGGCCTATTTAAGACATCAGAAAACACAGTATAAAGAGCTGGCCCACTTTCAGCTCTTTCACAGGAAGGCTGTGAAGTGTCGTTTCCCCTCCCCCTACTTATAACACATTTAAGGATTTCTTTCTTTTTAGGAAGTGAAATGCATGTGCATTGTCATGGCACTTGTTCCTTAATCTAGTAAAC